CAGGCTCTTAAAGGAAAAGGACATCATGATACTTTCCTACCTAACTTCCTTCATTTTCCTTAAACTGGGAGCACTGTTTGATCTCTCTGTAATAAGTAATATTTTAAGCTTTTTATTAAAAAATAATATACACCCATTGCAAAAACAAATTCAAGAAATACAGAATTATAGGAAATAGAAAGTCTAAATCAGTCCAATCCTCCCAACAGGTTTAACTACACTTTTGGTATTTTTAATGCAAGTGCAAATACATTTTTCTTCAGCATTATTTTGAAACTGAGTTTCTTGTTTGTTTCCTTCACTCAGCAGTATATCATAGGAATTTTTTCACAAGAGTGTATATAAACATATTTCATCTTTTGCAATGGTTCCACTGAATTCCACTGTGTGGGTGTACTATAATTTATTTTACCCATCTTCTTTTGATAGAGATGAAACTCCCCTCTGATTTTTGGCCATTAAAATCACTGCTGCAGTGACTAAACCTTAACATACATTTTTTCACACGTGTCCAATCATTTTCCTAGGATAAGCATCTAGAAATGGAACTATGTCAGAATTTTCACATTTTACTTTTTGGGAGACACTGTCCAATTGTTTTCAAAAATAGTGTACCATTCATACAGTCAAGCTTTGAGACTTTTACACAGTTTAAAATGAAGACTTTTAAAGAGTCTAAGTTAAATGAACTTGAAGAAATGAACAATTAAAGGCTACTGTTTACTTGTACTACTTGCAAATATTTGTTTGTAGTGTGGAATAGTATCTAGTTTCCTTAACTATGAATTGAGATCACATGCTTGAGCTCATATAAATAACAATATTTACATAGCACTGTAATAATTCTCTTACAAGTTCATGAGATTGATAGAGAATACTTATTTGCATCTCTACTTGGTTTTGATATCTTGGAGTCTTACTGAATGTCCTATAGCTGCATTCTGACTCTGAGATGAGGTCAATATCATCAATCAGATGATCAATGGATTATCACTAGCACCAGCTTACACCAAATAACAGCCTGTCTGCTCTAATCCTTTGGCCGATACACTACATTTAGCAATCTAGAACTGGTACACATTGTTAAAAAAATCAATATACAACCCTTGTTGTTCTCACTATTTCTTTTATATTACAATTATAAAACAATCTTTTATTGTAATCTACCTTGGTATTTTATGTGTATTCCTTAAATGGCTTTCAAAAAAGGAATATTGAATAATAAGGTAAAAATAAGTATAATGCATACAAGAATGCTTTTTAATATTTTAACAAGAAAAGGCCATACTTTAAATGGATGGTGATGTTCAGTATGTAATAATTAAGTCATAAATGAATACCTCTAATATATAGGTTGTTTAACATAGCTCTAAATCAGGCCAAGTATAAGTTATATGGACAACTCTATTCGGAGTAATCTTTCTATGTATTATTCCCATATACCACTGTTGATAAAAAGCAGTGCCTCAAGAATAAATGATTCATTAGGCACTTAAAATTTTTTATCTTATGTAATTTATCTTTATAATTTTGAAGTACTAAAGAATCCTTGGGATTCTAAAGTATTTTGAAATGATCCATATTTTATTAAGTTTCAAAGACAATCCCCCCTTGTCCACAAACCTATACATTTGAAATTAAGTAACCACTAAAACTGCTGTGATAATTCATATATCCATGAGAGGAAAAAAACTGAATCTAAATTTGAAAGTTACATTTAGCCAACAATTCATCTTTTTTTACTTGTTACACAGCAACTGGTGATTATAAAGAGATGAAGCTGTCTATTTTAATTACCTAAAACAATGAAATGCCACTTTTGAGTTTTCATTGTTTAGTCTCTCTTATTTAAATCAAGTGTCTTCCTTATGGTTTTTACTATGTATATATATATTTTTTTTAAGGCATGGGAATTTTTTAAGTTGTTATGGTAATTTCCTACATCATTTCCCCCAAAAAAATACTTGATTTAGCCAAATATTAAACTTTTTGAAATTATAACTCCATTAATCCAGATAGCACATTTTACTCATTTGTGTGATTTTAAAATTCATTTGATTGACTGTTTTAATCCTACTTAACTAGTGAGTAATGGAAAAGAAATGGTTCATTCCTAATACTGTAAATATGAAAAATAGGAAGTATTTAGGACTGCAGGGGAATACATTAAAATCAGTCCGTTTTCTAGTTAACATATTCTCATTCTGTTTGTGTACAAACCCACTGCATTGAGAAGACAGATCACAAATTCACAGCCTCACAAAAATGTACTGATTTTATGTTTGACGACAGAAATTGGCCCAAATCTCTAACCATTTCCCCTAAAGGCCCGTGGCTGACTGGTGTCATCCAGGTGCTACACAGTCTGAACGAGGGGAACATCGCATCACATTCTACTCATCTGTCAGTGTAGTGGATTATTTCTTGAGAGACTGAAATTGGCTGCTTGGGATGGGAGCTCCATCAATCTTACTGTGTAGGGCATGGTGAAGCTGCTTGTAAGAGGCTGGCAAGAGTAGGGCCAGCAGTTTCTAAGCAGGTGAGGGGGCAGCTATAAAGCCTTCGCTCTCCCTCCACTGAGTGCTCTGAGGAAAAGATTTGTCATTTTTCACATTTCCCAGATACTTGGTATGCATGCAGTGTCCGCCTGCTCCTGCTTTATGAAAGAGGCGATTTTTCAAGCTTAGGCAAATGTGGCAAAGCTCAGGGTCTGCTGGTATCTCATTTTTTCTCATCATGTCACTTGTTTTAACCGATTTGAGAAAATGAGATTATGCTTTTTCCTTTTTGCTCATTTATCCAGCTATTTATTTATTTATTTGCTCATTTAGGGGTGGATTGTCACAGATAACTGGCTCTGATTTCTCTCTTGTTTTCATATACATTTCATTAGTGTCCCTGAAGATTTAAGACCCACAAAGGGAAACATCACAAACTCTCATCAAAAAAAGCATATATTTACTCTTAAAATCAAAACGGAAGATTGCATTAAAGAAGATTGTATTTCTGACAGAAATAATCTAGAATATTGCTGTGTTCAAGATCTATCACTTTAATCTTTGCAGCTATTGTTGAAAACCCAAGAAAGTTAAATAAATGTATTACGCTTAGGGATGAAATTGGTTTTGGTGTTGCAGTTTCTTAGTGAACCTGATGTACAGATTGACCACACGTTGGTGATAATAAGCACTTTCAAAGGTTAGGTGATGGAGAAACAAAAACTGAGTTTAATTTCAGTCACAGCCTAATGATGTTTCTCAATTTAGAATTTTAATATTTTGATAACAACCCCCATAAAAACATGTTTACTTATTTCAAGTAGTACAGACATAACCTCTACCAGAAAAATTTCATGTATTAACTGAGTAATAGGGACTGTCTATGTGAAAATCCATTGCAAACTGTACTGTATTTCATGACTATATTCATAGGGCATAAAATAAAACACATAGCGTTTGGTGGTATATTCTAGCCAGGTACAACATCGTTTGAAAAATCAACAGCAAGAGTAAAAACAAGATTTTTGTCCAGACTATGAGGATTATTAGCTGTGTAAACAGCAAAACTTCACTCGATCGAAATCTCTACCATGCATGTTTGTAGTCTGTTAACTGAGGGTGTCAGTAATTCCTGACATTTATGAAGAGATTTATAGTTTAAAAGCACTTGCAGGAACATTATTTTATTTACACACTCACAATATCTCTAATTGGGAAATTGGTCTCAGAGAAGAAACGGACTTGTCCAAGGTCATACCGCTCACAAGTGACAGAGGACAGCAGTCCTGAACTGTCCCATCACCACTTGCGGCCACTCACCAGTTCTGCCATGGCCACCGTTCAGAATGAGTTTGCAGTGCAAATGAGGCCATGGATTGACATTACTTTAAAGTTTTTATAAATTATGCAAAGGGGTTCACAGCTCCTCAAAAGGGCTACTTGGCATGATTATTCTGCGCTTGGGGGACCGTATACTCTCCTTGGAAAATGATCTGCAGGTGTAATCAGACCGACCTCACTTCCAATGGCAGTTATTGGCTGTGTGGTCTCAGACAAGCACCCAATCCCTCAGAACTTTGGTCTCCTGGGCAACAGGGTGGGGGTGGGGTGAATTACACTTACTTGTGTAAGGATTAAGCTGAACAATGAGAATTAATCCTGAAAGCGTGCTAAAACACTCAGGATCGTTTTTCTTATGACTTCTTATTAGTAAATATAATGAATACAGATTTCCCGCGTTATTTGTGCCACAAAACAAGTCAAAGACATTATTGCCGGAACAGACCAGTGATTAACTGATTGGCTGTAAAGTGGGGATTCCGAAACCCATGTTTGTTTTTGCGGCAACTCGGTAGAGAAGCCTCGGAGTCTGGGCGACGCCCGCTCCAAGCTCAGGACACCAACACAGAAACACGAGCGCGCAGCAGCTGCAGAGCGGTTTCCATGCCCACCTGCAGGGGAACCAGAGCCCCCTCGCCTTCCCTCTCCGACCCCGGCGGTGGGGAATGAGGGTTTCTGGGGCCTGGAGGCAGTCCTTGGCCTCAGCCCCCAACTCGGGTAGCTCCCACCCTGTTTCAGGGGCGGGGGCGCGGGCTCCAGCACGGAACAGGCTGGCGCGCTCCCTCGCAGCCCGGTGCCGACGCGCAGGAACACCCAGGGCTGTATCCGCGCTCCCTAGAAACTGTCCCCCGCCTAGAAGCAAGGCCCGGAGAGGCAGCAAGCCGCGCCCCGGAGGTGTCGCTGGAGCACGGTGCTGAGGAGCCCAGGAACGGAGCCCAGGCCGGCGGTAAAGCCAGGGCAAGGCAAAGGCGTGGACGCTGGACCACGCCGCTGGAGGAAGCGGGCGGATGGGAGGAGGTCGGGAAGGAATTGGGAGAAGCGGGTGGAGGGCTGGGAGCATCTTCAGAACTGAGGATCGGCAGCTTGGGCGCGCAACTGGTCCCCAGAGTCCAGACTTGGCTACAGGAGGGGAAGGCGGGGGGGAGGGGGGAACTCGAGGTGAAGTTGGAGGGTGGAGTAATCGGAAGCAAACGCTGAAGCTAAACAGAAAATGAAAGGATATTTGTTCAGAGAACCATCGAGGGTAAGAACAATCGAGCTGGGGGACGGTAACGATAAGGGCAAAGGAGAAAAAAAGTCAGAGTGAACAGTGAGGCCATGGAAAGGTAAGAAATGTACCTGGAACAGAAAGATGAAGAAAGCAAATCGCGTCCAGAACTCAATACAGATAAACAACAACAAAATCAGCCAAAGGGACCTTGCCCCCGAAACTGCCTAAGAGAGTGAGAAAGAGAGGGGGAAAAAAAGGCACCGAGCATACGGAAAGAACAGAAAGTGAAGGAAGGGAGAAAGGAAAGGAGACAAATTAAACCAAACAAGAAATAGTAAGTTACTCTTTCATTTCTTTTTCACTGACTACTTCCAAAGTTAATTCTGGCATGAGCATTCCCTGAAAATCCTTAACCACACGCATCCCGACATTATAGTATTTATACTAGATAAAAATGCTTCCCAGAAATATATACGCATTATTTTATGGGTTGCAAAGATCATGTATTTCCTCCCTAAAACACCCTCATTTTGAAAGTCATCCCATGTTTTGCAGAATATTTCACTGTTGCCTTAAGTATCTGAAAACAAATGACCTCTGTTTTTTAAGATATGGAAGGGGGAGGAGGACTTTTAGAGAAAACTATCTTTTCTGAGAAGTTAATAGAAATACCTCCAAGGTATTTTAGTATCCCCACTTTACCCAAAGCATTCAGCCAACAATTCATCTTAGAATTCAGAGGCAAGCTGCCCACACTCTAGCACTTTCTGTTACTTTCATTCAACCATCTGTTAAGGTGACAGCGTAAGACTGGAGGCTACAGTGGGGCCAGCTCCCGACTTACCTGGTCTGTGCAGGTGGTGCTGTTGGAAGGCATGCTGAAGGGATCCATGGCAGAGCAGCATTGCACAAGCACTTATCCACAAATACAGGACCCAGGACATCGCCGAGACCATTGCCATTCTCTAAAGAGAACATTAGATAGGAAGGATTACCCCCGGATTCAAGCCCCCAGCTCAGTTTGTCTCACTGGGGCGAGAAGGAGGGTCTCAGACGTCATGTCCCTTTGCTACTCTCCTGGCTAGAATTAATGACCCAGCAGGGGTCATGCTGTGAAGTCGGATTGACAGAAAGCACTTTTCAGATCATGAATTCATTTCTGAAATTCTGTACAACCAAGGATTGCCAAAATACAAAAATAAATGAAAGTTTTTGACTATCAGGGAGTTTGAGACATAGTATCCTAAATAAACAACCTGTTTTGCATGATCATCTATAAGGTATAGTTATTCCAGGCATTAAAAGCTGCATGCTCCTGTTCATTCTAACTTCATTGCAAGTCTAACATAAGCCTGAGAGGAAAGAGTAGATTTTTTTCAATTCTACAGTCATGAATTTTTAATCTCTATGCTTTCTTCTAAACTAAGTAATCATTTCTCAGAGGCATGTTGTAATCCCCTGATAGAACTGGTCTTTTTGGCTGGACTTAAAATCAGAAAGAATTGTCTTCAGCCAGAATGAGCTTCAGATGGAAGATCTATGCTTCTATCCTAGAGTGAGCTATAATTTACAATATTGCTTTGCCTCCTAAGATCCCATTGTGGCATTTGTTGTATACTGTTGAATATGCATATACAGGTGGTGTATGTATTTATGGATGAACATACACCTTTTCTCAGGCACTGAAACTTTGACAGTCTTTTCTGCACCTATAAGGATCTTAGCAGCTACAAAGGCTCAACTGCGCTACATATTGTCCAATTTCTCAAACAGCACCTTATGCTGCATTTCATATTGCCAAATTAATCAAACTTGGAGCATCATTCTTATTCAGTCAGTGATATTGAAAGTGTTTTCTATACAAGAATCCAGTTAAGTATATGCTTTTCTCTTAGGGATTTGGAACTAAGATTGTTTCATTCTTTTTAATGGATTATTCCACTGTCAAATCATACACTTACAGCATTTCAACTATACATTTAAAACCTACTAGTAACCTCCCAGTGTGGCTTCTGTATTCACAGAAATTTGTTCTTGTTCAAAACCTGTGATGCTCAGAAAGTAAAAATAATGTACACAATATGTGTGTGTGTGTGTAGACATAATACAAGATAATTTACGGGTTTTAGGAGAGAGATGTAGTCTTTAAGAAGGGTTTTAGGACTATAATAGATAAATGGTGGCAATCATAATTAAGTGCAAAGTAGGAAAACATTATTTTCAACAGTATGGAGCTTTTTATGCACCAGTCACTGATTCAGATGGATCACTCACTTTATAATTAGATACACTGCCCACTGTTTACTTTTGTATACAACAGATATAGCCTCATAGTTTTCAGAACTATCAGTAAAACATAGATGCATTCTCTTCGATAGAGATAAATAGCAACACCCCTCCTGTGAATCTTGAAATGAATGCATTCTGGGGCTTTTTCAAAATAACCTGCAAATTACAGAAAGACAAAACAGAGGTGACAGTGGCATGCATTGACTCCTTGTGAATTTCAGTTAAAATGCACTAGGAATTCATCTCAACTTGAAAAACCCCTATCATAATAAAAACTTAATAGTTTTTCAGTGACCATTTTCTCTTGCTCATTTCTTCACTAACAGATCTCAGTCCTCAAAAAGATTACTATGACTTGACATTTGCAGTATTGTCCTTCATTTTCTTTTTCTCATTTAACTTTGTCTAATTCTCAGCATTATTTCCCAGGTTCCTGCATATCACTCTCATTGCTCTCTTTCTTACCAAGAGGTTGTTCCTATGTTAATAGGTGTTTTCCTACAAATAATGCATTCAGTCTCACATAGTTCTCTAGATATGACTGAACAGGTTACAAATCTGCTTTCTGAATCTTAAATCCTTAAAGAGACTTCTTACCTGAAAAATCCAGCCAAGAGCAGAGTACTCTATTAGTGTTCATTGGAAAGCTCTAACACTTTCTAAAATCCATCTGTGCCACAATTCAAGATTTTTTGCAAAAGAGCTTCTCAATAATCTTCTTTATCAGGATTTTTAAAAATATATGTTTTTCTCTTCTGATGCTATTTCCACAGTAAAGAAGACATCGAGCTCCCTCAGATTGTATTGTCAGAGAAGAAGCCAAGGTTTGATGGGTGGAAACCTTGTCATTTTCACCTTTAAATCATCTCCTGGCGTCACCTCTGCCTGATGAGACCTTTGAAATGATGGTGAGATAATGTGTAGTTTCCTGATGAGAATCAGTTAATAGTTAATGACAGACCATCCCCACTCCATTCAGTGTATTCAGGGCAGAGCAAGGCAGTAAAATGTAGGAGCAGGGCTGCTATACGGTGCTGTAAGTAGCAGAGTCTGTTTCAATACATCCCTCCTCTGTAAAGTATCACATGTCTTAAAGTGACATTACCCTCTATTATAGCTACAGTGAATTGTAATACTTGCCCACTAACTCTTGAACAACTCAAACAACACTTTTAACACTGTATTCTCTGATATGTTAGAGTTTTTGCTGATACTATTTATTTGCTAAAAGAGTAAAGAAGGAAGGAGAAACAAAAGAAAAAAGCATTCTGCAAAATGATAGTGTTAATGGGTGTTAGAGTTCTAATAGTACATGGGAAAGTGAAAAACACTCCATTTCTTACCCCTTAATGTTCTTTTAAATAGGAAGTTCACCAAAAATATTGTTAGCTTTATACAAATTTAAATCTGTCAATTGTTTTGGCAGCTAAATATGGGAATATGATATATCTGAAATATAGACAGTTAAATGCATAAGACCAGTAAATATCTTCTGAATTTTTTAACATGTTTAATAAACAGAAATCAGTCATTTTCAGCATTGAAGGTGGGCTTTAACAAAGAAATTTGCTCAAGTCATTTTTAAAAATTTCCCTTTTCCTCAAATAACACTTTGGGGTAGGAAGACGAAACATTCAGAAGTTCACCATTTTGTTTCTAGTATTATGATTTGGACACTTTCTTCTCCAGAAATGTAGTGTGACTGTACCTAGACATCAATGATGCATGTAAGGTGATCTAGTTTTTCCCTTATGGAGTGCAATAGCAATGATTCTTGGAAATATTCATTCAATTATTTAATGAATCACTAATAAAGCACCTACTATGTGTTAAATGCTTGGGGAGACAAGGCAGAAAATGGACCAATGTGATCCCTCCTCTCATAGATCATACTGTCTCATCTTTCATTTTTTTCATTTCAAGGTGTTCTCATAATTTTCCTTCCTCAACAACCTTTTGAAATGCCTCAGAATTCTCTCTTGCCTTTCATAGGCATTATAAAGAAGGTTTGATGCTGCCATGCATCTTCAGAAACCAGAGGGGAGACCTTTCAGGTTCATTAATCTTCCCCACTGATCTTTTACATTGCACAGTACACACGTAATAGCTCTTTGTAACAACACAACTCTTTGTTAAATCTTACCACTACACAAATTTCAAGATAATGGTAAATACTCATTTTACAATTAAAAATAAGTCAAGAACACCAAAGTTCTAGTTGGTAATGTATGCTTCATTTCTGTGGTTCAATATTGTTGTGTTGGTGAGTATACACAGAAAGTTTACACAGCTGTGCAATATGAAGACAAAAATAATAAAAGCAGAAGCAGCCACTAATATTTATTAAACCTTCACCATGTGCTAGCACTAGTCTGTAATATGTTGCTTGTAAGATATAATTTCATCCTCCTTACTAACTCTGTAAGATAAGTATTATTATTATTATCATTATCTCTATTTATGGATGGAAAATCTTAGGGAGAAAAGAGAGGTTAAGAAACTTGCTAAGGTAATACAGGTACTGAGTGATGGAGCAGGTCTCAAACCCTAGGGATCTGGCTTATAAGCTCACATCTTAAATACTTGGATAGAATACTTCATGGAAAAAACAACCCCCCAGTATTAACCGTCACATTTTCTTATTTCTTTACCATTAAGACAGTTTCAAAACATTACTACTCATTTGTTTAAGAGGCATGTTTTGACTACATTCCAGACATTTAAAATATAGAAGTATGGGAAGATAGTCTTTGCCCATGATTTTATTGGTTTTGGTTTTGCTATGATAATGCATAAAAATTAGAAGAAGTTCAGATTTGCTTAAAAAAAAAAGCTACCATTTGGAAAAACTATAACCATTATGGTCTTCATTTTGGGGCTTAACTTAAGTTACCTACAATTCAGTTCAACTTAATAAACATGAAACACATATTAATGGATTATGTCCAAGGCCCTCAAGTGGGCACTGCTAATTTTTTTTAAGACTGGAAGAAAGACCTGCTCTTTCAGGCTTACATGACTTTCTATACCTTCATGTGATATAACAAGAATATCAAGATAGCTCCATTTTTTACTTCAAATACATTGCAGTCCATTGTATTGCAGCCAGTGATCATGTGTCTTTATAATATAAGCATCAACAGATATTGACATTTAAGGCAATTTAGTCCATGCTCTCAACTCAAAGCAAAACTACTTTCATGCCTTTCAAAGAAGTTGGGCCTTTCCACCTTCAGGCTGTGGTAGGATGGTATTTCCTGACTGCTGTATAGTTCGTTGAGCCATAAAGTTCTAGTCAACGAGCTGACAGCAGAACTGAGGGAATCTCTTTGAGGCTGGAGCTTTTAACTGTTAAAGCAAACACACTCCAGATCTCTCTTTGCCTTTAAAATAGGGACTAGTTGCACGATCAGTCAGGATCCTTGAGTGACAACAAAGAGCAGTGGTTCTCCCCTCTTCCCTTTCCAATCTATAATGGATGGACATAGTGAATAAGAAACATTTTGTTATTTAAGCAATTGAAAATTAAGGGTTATTGCAGCATACCTAGTTTGTCCTGACTGATGAAGACTTTAACCCAAATTATTTATGTATTAATTTAATATTTATGTTCCATGCACTACCTTAAACTCTGAGGAAACAGCAGTATATACATCAGACTAAATTCCTGCCTTCACAAGGACCCCCTTCAAGAGAAATCCATTGGAGATTTTTGATGAGAGCAATAATAAATCCAAATCATTGATTACTGCATCTAGAATCCCTTAGAGTTCTTATAAGCCAGAAGTTATAAACAGATCACTCATGTGGCCCATAGCCATGCCCAGCTCAGACATTTTGTTATGCAAGCACAGTATTTCAAAAAGCAAAGGACTACAGCATCATTGTTTTAGCCCACTCAGTTTCATGAATTCAGGATACCTAAACAGTTGGTACATGACTCAGGCCAAACTCCTGAAGATGCATATTTCAAATACAGTACCTATACATGTGCACATTTGTGTGTATAAAAAAGAGAAAAGCCTATTTGTCAAAACTCCACCCCATAGAGAAACCCACATTTATTCAGAAGAAAGGCCCAATGGAAATAATTAGGGGTGAAAGCTAAAACACACAGAATGCTTAAATAGCCAAGAATATTCAGCAAATTACCGTGCATAGTAAAAGGCAGGGGGAGGGAGGAATGAGGGATACAGATGCAATAGGGTGGAAAACTAAACAGAGGCAAAAAATGGTGGGGGTGCTGAGAGGCAGCTATAGAAAGAAATGCATTAGAGGTTCAGGAAAAGGACTGAGAACTAAAATGCACAAAGGGAAATTCTGGGTGAAAACCATATCCTATCCAGTGTGACTCTCCTCCCTATCTGTCTCCAAATGATTACAAAAGTATTAAAACACAAAAATGAAAAACAAAAAATATATGCTTTGTGTTACTAACTTATTTGGGAAGCCCATTAAAGGCCCATCTAGGGCCTACAACCAAGCCAAAAATACCACCAGATAAACTCTCATTCTCCTGATTACCACATTTTTCATTTCTTGGCATTAGAAATAAAAGCCATCCTTACTTCAGTTTAAAAACAACCTACTTAATAATTTGGCTAATTTTAATTCACAAATGTGCAGAAAAAAATGAGACACTGCAAGATTTTATGTCTATGCACATTTCTAAATTGAAAAACAACTAAAGGAATTTAAATAAATTACATCTGGACTGAGAAACATGCCAAGTTTCAGTTTAATGCAAATTAAAGTGGTTTAGATGTACACCATTTAAATTAGTTCTAAGTATTTCTTGAAATAACACATTTTGGTTGTGACTTCACAACACTGGTGTTCTTCCTTATTTCAATTGGCTAATGAAAGTGGAGGCACGGATGAAAGGATCATTGTCATGACATGTACCTCTAATCTATATGCCTTCTGTAGGCCAATTTATCTTTCTGTAGTCATTGGGACTACCCATCAGTTGGCTGACAATGTCAATTCTTAAATCTCTTATCATGAGATGCAATATACCTTTTCCCTTCTCTAAGTAATAGTGTTACCCTATCTTTCTCCCATTGCCCAATTGCATAACTCATTTGTGTTAACTCACTTTTTTCCTCAGAACTCATCTGAAATTTTCCCATCTACCATGGAATCCTAGTATGTGCCCCATACCAGATACACAGCAACATCCCTAGTTTGTCAGTCTTATCTTTAGGACCTAAATAAGGTATATATACTTGCATGATTTATTTCTGTATTCTTTCCCCTGCACTACTTCAAAGTATATTTAAGCTAAAAAGAGGGAAAGGATGATGAAGAGAAAACCAAATGAAGTACAAGAGATTGGGAGTTCTAATAATAATATATAATACTGATGATGATTGATGATCATATAATGATTATGATGATGACACTATTGTATTAATAACTATTTTGGGGGGAGCTCTTTCTATGTACCAAGCCCTAGTTAATCCTTTATATGCAGTTTGTCATTTAATAGCCACAAAAATGCTAATAGATCTATATTCTGGTGATCTCTATTTTATGGATGAAATACAAAATTTCAGAGAGGTTAAGCAATAGAACTAATGCCACACCTCCAGTAAGGTTGAGGAACTATGATTCACACTCATCTTTGATTCCCAAATCTTAAGCTCAAAGCAACCAAATATAGACAGCAATACTAGCAAGAAACAATCAATTTTACATGATAAAGATAAAAGCCCAAGTAAGCTAAGTAATGTGAACCTGATGTGAAGTTTGAACATGAAATGCAAACCATCAGCTGTTACAGAGGAAGCACTATTTTGATTCTAAGAGAAGTAAAAGTGAAGAAGAGAAATTATTCCTTAAAAATTCACAGCATCTACAAAGTAAAAATCAGAAGCAAAAAAAATAGAAGTAGGAAGCCGAACTA